TTTTTTTTTTTTTTTTTTTTTGTTTCATCTACACAACCGTACGTAGATATTTGGATACATATTTTGAATTAATGCTATACACAATTCAAACGAATCTCCTTAATTTGATCTTAACATATACACTTAATAGATATTGATAAAAAGAATAGATATTATAATAATTGAAGACAGCTGCAGAGCGACGATTTAAATATGTCTTCATTGTTGAAATGTTAGAATGACTGAAATATGAGTTTCAGAAAGAAGAATAAGTTCTTAAATCTAACGTTGTTTAATGGAACTGCACTAACAAATATCAAATTATTTACTATATGCACAATAATATCATTGTAACATGTGTATCATTTGTAACATGTAAAAATATGCTATTTTTGATAAAATAAAAATATAATTTTACAATATTATTTTGTACAAAATGAATTCTAATATAAGCAGGAGATTCTTAAATATAAGCATCGTATTCTTTAAATTTCGTAGACTTTCTGTCTAATGCGTATGAATGAAATATTTTGAATTTCCGTAAAATTTGTTTTCATGCATTTTTTTGTGGTGAATATCAATGCATATCATAATGTATATTTCTCCTTTTTCCTTAATGCATTGCCATTGGAATTGTAAATGAATTTCGAGATTTTTCAAATTAATTTAATTAGTATTAATCTCTCTATTACAGAGAATGCATCATGCAAAATAAAACCCAAAATCTTAAATTTTAATCGTAGTCTAAGATAAATGATTATAATCACGCACAAGCCAACGTTGAGTATTACTTTTAATAGTTGTTCTTTCTTTTTTTTTTATTATTACTAGGGGAAAATAAAAGTGCATCATCGAGAATATGGGTGGTATGACACAGAGGCCGTGGACACCAACGAAGAGACGAGGTCCTATCGCTGCAGAGTACAGTAGCCCTGGTCCTGCTTGTGTAACATTACCACCATTGATCGGTAATCTTGATTTTTTTTCTCTTCCATGTTGAAATTCACAAACAAAATTTCAAACGTTGAATCTTTTACAGGGAAAACCGTTCCCGACTCGAAACGAGGCAGAGCGCCTGCTTTTTCGTTTGGAAGCAGGTACACAAGTTTATTTACTCAGTTCTGAAGTCATCGATTTTTAAAATTTCTCCGTAGGGAGATGATAATGGATTTTTTTTCAAATGTAGAAGATAATCACAAAAATTACAAAATATAATGACAATACAGAGTAAAGTGTTCAAAGCCTGTTTTTTTTTTCTGAAATTATTATGGATGTCGATATGGATTTGAAATTTGGATACGTTTAATGATTCAGAGAAACTAAAATTTTAAGATGTCTGTAAACAACTCTTAATTTTGAAAAATTAATATCGTATTATATTATAATATTATTAAAAAGTTGTCAAATTGGCTTAAAATAATGTTCTAAAATATTAGCCGCCCCGAATCATTTAACGTAACTCTTCAAGTTGCAATAATTTCAAAGAACAGCT